ACTGCTCCTTAGTCAATCTGAAATGACTAGCTAACGGTGTGCTGACGGCCTTAGCACCACTCATCCCGAATCTCTCAAGCACCCGTCGAATATACTCGGCCTGAGATAGTCGTAGTGTGCCTAAGAGTTTGTCTCTACTGATCTTCATTCCCAATATCTGCTTCGCTGCGCCTAGATCCTTCATGTCGAACTCACTCGACAGCTGCTTCTTCAGTTTCTTGATCTCTGTCATATCTGAACCGGCTACTAGCATGTCGTCGACATATAGGAGTAGGATGATGTAACTCTTGTCAAACTCTTTGACAAAACAGCAATGATCAGCATTGCATCTGGAATAACCGTTCCTGTGCATGAATCCATCAAACTTTTTGTACCATTGCCTTGGAGCTTGTTTTAGGCCGTACAAGCTCTTCTTCAATCTGCATACCATCTTCTCTTTTCCCTTCTGAGTAAACCCCTCTGGCTGCTGCATATATATCTCTTCCTCTAGATCACCGTGGAGGAAAGCTGTCTTTACATCTAGCTGCTCGAGATATAGATCTTCAGCTGCAACAATACTCAGGACTGTTCTGATGGTAGTCAGTTTGACTACTGGAGAGAAGATATCTGTGTAATCAACTCCTTCCCTCTGTTGAAATCCTTTAACCACCAATCTGGCCTTGTATCTCTTGGAACCATCATGTTCCTCTTTGATTCTGTACACCCATTTATTGCTCAAGGCCTTTTTCCCCGTTGGTAGCTTCGCAAGTTCCCATGTCTTGTTGGTGTTCAAGGATTTTATTTCATCTTTCATGGCGAGCTCACACTTGCTCGCATCATCCACTCGAAGAGCCTCATCATAACTTTCTGGCTCTCCACCGTCACTCAATAATAGGTAGTTAAGATGAGCTCTGGGCTGTAGTGATGGGTACTCTAGCTGACCGCCTCAACTCTCTAACGGGCGAAACAGGCTCTTCATCTTCATCTGCCCCCTCTGAAGTGGTCTCATCCATCATCTCTTCTTCTTCATCAGAACTAGCTTCGGGATTGCCTCCACCTGAGGCATCATCTGACTCGAAATATGTAGGATCACTCTGCATCGAGCTAGTGGGCTGAACTGCATCACGGTCTTTGTAGAGGACTGATTCGTTAAAGACCACATCCCTGCTTCTGATGATTTTCTTGTTCTGCTCATCCCAGAACTTGTAGCCAAACTCATCGCCGCCATAGCCAACAAAGAAACATTTTAAGGACTTAGGATCGAGTTTGCTTCTAGCATGATCACTCAGATGTACATATGAAACACATCCAAATACTCTCAGGTGAGAAAGGTTTACCTGCTTTCCACTCCATACTTCTTCAGGTATTTTGTGCTCCAAAGGCACTGATGGTCCCCGGTTGATCAAGTAGGCAGCTGTGTTGACTGCTTCTGCCCAGAATTGCTTTGGAAAACCTGCTTGTAACCGCATACTTCTGGCTCTCTCAGTCAATGTTCTGTTCATGCGTTCTGCTACGCCATTCTGCTGGGGTGTACCTGGCACTGTCCTCTCTAATCTAATGCCGCTGTCATAACAGAACTTCTTGAACTCTGAGTCTTCATACTCGCCGCCGTTGTCAGAACGAAGCTTCTTGATCTTCAAACCGGTCTCGTTCTCAACCATAGCCTTCCATCGCTTGAAGACTTCAAACACTTCTGATTTGTGTTTCGTGAAATAGACCCAAGTCTTCCTCGAGTGATCATCTATAAAGGTCACGAAATATAACCTTCCGCTGGTGGATGGAACTGATGCTGGGCCCCACACATCTGTGTGAACTAACTCAAGCTTCTCTTCTTTAGGAGTTCTGCCAACCCTTTTGAAGCTTATTCTCTTTTGTTTCCCTAGAATGCAACTTTCACATAGGTCAGTTTCAGCCGATCTCAAACCTGGTAACTTCCCGTTCGATTGCATAACCTTTAGGCCTTTGCTACTCATGTGACCTAGCTTCTGGTGCCACAAATTTGGGTCTTCACTGCCTTCAGCCACTGTAATGGAACCTCGTGCATCTATCGTCATGTAGAGAGATCCCGTCTTCATACCACGGGCAACAACCATGGATCCCTTTGTAACCTTCCATGTATCACATGCAAAGGTTGATACATATCCCTCTTTCGCCAATTGTCCTATGGAAATCAGATTTTTCCTCAAGCTAGGAACATGTCTCACATCACTCAGCTTCCATGTAGACCCATTTAGCTTGATTTGCACGACTCCTTTGCCAACAATATCACAGGGCTGATCATCACCAAGATAGACTTTTCCTAGGTTTCCTGAAATGTAGTTCTCAAATAAATCTCTATTTGAGGTAGCATGAAACGAAGCTCCTGAATCCAGCACCCACGATTCAGTTTTGCTCTCCAACGAACAGATTAGGGCATCATCTGATTCTCCTGAGGCCACGTTCGCTTCAGTCTTGTTTTCCTTATCCTTCTTGGGTTCTCGGCACTGATTCTCATAGTGGCCAAACTTGCCATAATTCCAGCAATTGATCTCCTTCTTGCCCTTGCGGTTCCTGGACTTTGGCCTTCCGTTCCTCGAGTTAGATCTTCCTCGGCTACTCCCTCTATTTCTGTTTCTGTTTCTTCCTCTGCCCTCAAGATTCAAGGCCGACCCTGAATTAGAAATCCCTTCCTCTTGTCTTCTTATTTCCTCAGTCATAATCATGTCCACCACCTCTGAAAACTTCAGTTTTGATTTGCCACATGATCCGCTGATCGAGATAACGGTACCCTTCCAACTGTCGGGCAATTGACCAAGTATCAAGAGGGCTTGGATTTCATCGTCAAACTGAATATTGACCGAGTTTAGTTGATCCGTGATCTCGTTAAACTCGTTCAGGTGTTCCTTGAATTTCTGGCTCTCGGACATCCTCAAATTAAACAGCTTTTTAATGAGATGTACCTTATTCGCCGCAGAGGGCTGCTCATACATACTGGACAACGCCGCCATGAGATCCGCCGTCGTATTCTGATTCTTGATGTTGAACGCTACTGATTTAGACAAGGTCAACCTGATCGCTCCAAGGGCCTTTCGATCCAATAGCTTCCAATCCGCATCTTTCATATCCGTCGGCTTCTCTCCCAATGGTAGGTATAAATCCTTCTGAACAATCCCCCTGATGCGATTTGGAAATAGAGATTTAGGAGAGAAGAGAGAAAATCAAACAATCTCAAACACACAAGATTTACGTGGTTCGCTTCTCAATGTGAGAAACTACGTCCACGGCCGCCGTAGGAGAAAAATTTACTATTTTTTCAGTCTTCTTACATCATGCCCTAATCAACCCTTTTATAGACTTAAGGGTTTAACCAATAGAAAAGGAAACAGAACAAAACAGGTTAAAATTCGAAACTGGGCCAAAACCCGACTCCGGTCGACCGCCGCACCACGTGCGGTCGACCGCGACGAATCCTATTCCTGATCGAGCTCTCTGGACTTTGGGCGGTCGACCGCAGCGCCATGTGCGGTCGACCGTGATGCTGTCCGCAGTCTGGGCTTGCTCTCTGGACTTTTGCCGGTCGACCGCAGCGCCACTGGCCTGTGCCCCCAGCTGTGCACGACGTCGGTCGCCCGCCGCGCCATGGCCGGTCGACCGCGATGCAGAAAACTGTCTCCTTCGTCGTTTTGCTTGAACTTCTCCATCGTCGATCCTGTTCCTCCTGTTCCAACTTTGTTCCTCTTCTCTTCTGAAGTATAGGGCATGCTTGATAGTTAGGCTTCACATATCCTAACAAAAACATGTTAGTAGTTGTTCAACATCTTGAAAAACATGTCGGCAGTTGGCAGAGAACAAGTTTTTGAAAATTCCTCCAATCTTAAAATAAACCTCAACCCCCACCCCTACCCCGCCCTAGCATCAACACTCAGCCGAAAACTGAAACTCAGCATGCATCAAAACTCAAATCTACCCAAAATCGTAACCAGTCATGCATCAAAACTCAGCAAACAACAAAAATCAACCCAAATCTACCCAAAGCATAATTACAAAACTCTAACACAAATAAAAAAAGATATTTAGAGAGAGGGCTGTGAGATCTATACCTGCGGGATTTGAGCGAATCGCCTGAAACCCTAGAATCCAGAATCGACAGAAATCCCCAAATTAGTTTCGCCTAAATCTCAGTTTTGCCATCCAAATTCTCGTTCTTTACTAAAGGTACAACTGAAATGGAGGAGGCGGCGGGTAAAAGAGGAGGACCACAAGGAAAGAGGTGAGTGGAGTAACAAAGTGAGGAGGCGACGAGTAAGAACAGGAGGCGAGAAGAGGAGGCGACGAGTATGCACAAGAGCAGGAAGAGGAGGCGACGTGTAAAATATGGTAGCGGGAAATAGATGCGGGTAAAAGAGGAGGGAGAAGAAACGAAGCGGTGATGGGAATGGGGGGATTTTGGTTTTTGGAAGTGAGAATGAGCTGGCGGGTTTTTGTCAGAGCTCCAGCTCACATCCCAGCTCAAAGAGAAGATTTCACAAATCCTAAAATATATTAGTTTTTTATAATTTGGGGATTCAATATCCCAAAATTAATTTTGAAACAAACAATGTTTATGGAACACCAAAACTAAAAAAAAAAACCTTTTTACATCCCAAAACTTGAAATCTAGCCTATATCCAAAAAAAAAAAAAAAAAAAAAACCACAAAACTTGAAATCTAGCCTATATCCAAAAAAAAAAAAAAAACAAACACCACCTTAGCATTTCACGGACTAATATCCCAACAAATACAAAAAAAAAACAGAATTTCTATTACTGGCCCCACCCTTTCGCAGTTTATTTGTAGCTTCCGTCGAGAAAATGATCTTCCCACGTGCAACCCACGTGCAGATAACCAGTACAAAAAAAAAAGCAGAAGAACGTGCTCCTTCCTCCGAAGCAGAAGCATCTCCAGGAAAAAGCACAAAAAACGAAAAATACAGGGTGCAAACTGCAAAAGACCGCCCTCCTACTTCTCCCAACTGCTACCTCCTCCCGCAAGCGAGTGTAAGAAATGCCCTCACTCTGTTGCACGCTACTATTATTTTACTCCGAGAAATGGTGGTTGTTCTTGAGATCTGCAACCTTTTATTATTATTATAAAACTGAGAATGGTTGGAAGTCCGAGGGGTTTTCTTAGCAAATGTACCCAGGTATTTATGTGGTATATATCTGTTACTGGTCTTCTGTTCTTCATTTTTCGCTCTCTTCCCCAAAGGTGACAGACATTCTCCTTCATTTTCTGTTTTTAATTTTTTTAGAAGTTTTTATTTTGATAAAGAAATGGAGGTGGTTCTGATGTGCATTGTCGTTTTCACCCCCTTCAAATTGAATTGTTCAGAAAACTTATACATTTTGCTGTTGTTTCCATGGAAAAGTTGATTTTCTTCATGGGTTTTAGTTAATTTCAGCAAAAGATGAAGGGTTTACAGTGAGAGTTAAAACTACGATTGATTGTGCAGCAGTATGTTTTTTTTTTCTTTTTTTTTGGGGGGAAAAAAGCTTTAGTCTTAACGCTGAACCACGGAGAAATTCTCTTTTTCCCTGTTGAGTTTATAAAAGAATCGATTTGTCTTCATGCGTTAATCTCAACTTCTTACTTTATCCCCTATACTGCGGAAAAAATTTGAAGGATTTGGTATCCTAGTTTGGTTTCGCAGTAAAATGTGATGGGCATTTTAAAAAAATTTTGATTTTGACTAGGAAGGAACTGTTTTGATAGTATTCTCAATCTTTTCCCCATGTTGAATTAATGAGAAGTTCTTTTTATTCCTGATATTTGATAAAAGAGTTGATTTTTCTTTATGGGTTCTTTCTGATTTCATCGTCCCTAAATTTGAAATGGTTAGTTTAAAAGTTGATATTTATTTTTGCAGTAAATTGTGAATCTGAGGATCAAGGTTTGGGCTTTGAAGGAACTGTAGCCATCTATTTTTCTCTAATTTTTTCTTTAAATGTAAAAATTTATGGAAGGAAGTTAATATTTGGTAAGCAAATCTTAATATCTTTTATCTCTATCTTTATCCCTTTATTGTAGGGTCTTTTCTCCTTATTATCACAGACAAAAAGATCTCAGATTTTTCAGATATAACAATTTTTTCTGTTAAAATAGTAACTAATTTCCAGCTTTGATACGGCTAATCTCTGCTCACTGTTATCTGATTTTATACATAAAAAATTCCAAAGATAAAAAGTTTTGTATGAGAAAATATCCTCTAATTTTACTAAGCCATATTGAGGTTACTTAACTACTAACATTACTCTCTATTTGATGGCAGTTGTTGATGTGAGCTTCGCTATAGGAAATTTTCCTTTGCTCAAATGGAAGAGGTTTTGATGCAGGTGAGTGATTTTCTCTTTCTCTTTTTTAAAATAAAAAATTTGGTCTCCTTATTTACCAATGTTACTTTACCTTTTTCCCCCTTGTAATGATCTATTACAGTTAGAAATGATGAAATTGTTTCTCTTTTTGAAAGGACTACTGATGTTAGCTAGGAGTAAAAGTAGAGAAATCCACAAACTGATGTGCATTGTGATTATGATGTCTAAATGGATGGCACGCAAAGTTGCAAAGAATAGAATTAGGGATGTTAGAGGGAGCTTGAAAGTAATAAATATAGAAGAAAAAAGCAAATAGGAGGTTGATTATGATGGTCAAGTATTGTCTTATAAAGTCTAGGGTTGGAAGCTTTATATTCTTATTTGTGACCGTTAATAGTTACGAAAAATCTGCTTTTGGAAAATAAATTGATTTTTGAACTAATAAAAGGTTTATCTTTCAAATTGATTAGTTGCTTTGGTACATTACATTCTTGATAAGTTTATGTGATTTGATTCCGTAGATTGTATGAAAAAGTAATTATTACACTACTAATGTTTACCAAGATGTGGTTATCAGATATTCGAGTATGATATAAATCCGTTATCCACTTCCAATTTTTTTTGGTGTAAACCAACTTTGCTGTTCAAAGTATAGTGCAATTAATGAACCTATGTAGATTCAACTGGAGTAAGTAATGGTATGAATCATATTAATGAGGCATCTTTTGTAGGTGTTAAGGTCTTGATAGATTATAAATGCATGAGAAAATATTGTGTAAAAGATTAGATAGAATATTGACAAAGGTGTGACTATAGCTTTGCTTAACTTAGATTAGGACTATTAATCTTAAAGTAGGACTAGTAGTATATGAATGGACCATTTTTATCATATTGAGCATGCAATAATCTGCAGAGCACAATCACAACAAGGGATAAATCAGGCAATGTTATTTTGGACATTGAGAGCCTGGTACAACCCCTCGATAAATGTTGCAATGGGAGCCCAAAATTGAAAGTAAGTCATTCATATTTATACAAAGCAAGTGTCATTCATATGTACACAAAGCAAGTATGAAACTATACACAAATTTTTATAGATGATTACATATTTTATTACTTCTACAGAAAGTGCTCTCGCGTAAAGGGTCATGGCGGTGCGAAAGGAGGAACAGTGAGGAGCAAGAAGTTGATGAAGCATCCAAAAAGCTTGTAGTTAAAGGTATATAAGATATATACTTGGTTCCTTTAATACATGTACCTTTGGTGAAAACGGTAGGTGGGTGGGTGGTGAGTTATTTTTGTAGTACTTTATCATGCACCCACCTTGAGAGTATATGATAAGGGAAAGTGCTTCCTCTTATCTTAGTTTAGGTATAATGCATGTGATCTTTGTTACCAGCCATCCCTTATGTTACATTGGTTTGGATATTTTAGGAGTTAGGTCATTTTCTCTGATCTTATAGTCTGTTGTTTTTTTATTAGTTTTGTAATAGGTTTTACTTTGGTTAATCAGTTTGGTTAAGTTTTTTCTGACTTTGATACCCTAAAGTTTATACCTTTTTAACCTTGATACCCCAAAAATTTACACATTTGTTAACTTTGACACCCCGAAGTTTACATCCTTTCAGCTTTGCTTCCTCAAAGTTCGAACATTTCTGAGCTTTGTGACCCAAACTTGGGGTATCTAAGTGTCAAAAACAAAACTTTGGGGTATCACAGTTCGAACGGTGTAAACTTGGGATATCAAAGTGCCAGAGAAAATCATTGGGGATCAAAGTTATAAAGGTGTAAACTTTAGAGTATCAAATTGTCAGAAAAAACTTGGGGTTATCTAAGTTAGAAAAGGTGTAAACTTTGAGGTATCAAAGTTCAAGCACTTCTGAACTTTGTGACCCAAACTTTGGGGTATCAAAGTGTCAAGAGCAAAATGTTAGGGTATCATTGTTCAAAAAGTTTGAACTTGGAACATCAAAGTGTCAGAGGAAATCATTGGGGATCAAAGTTATGTGTAAACTTTAGGGTATATCAAATTGTCAGAAAATACTTTTGGGTATCAAAGTCAAAAAGGTAAACTTCAAGGAACCAAAGTGCAAATAATCCTTGTTATTATTATTGTATGTATCCTAGCCAATGTTTTAAATATCGGTTATCGGAAATATGACGGATGTCTAAAATTCATATCGGATCCCAGTTAATGAGATATATCAGGGATAAGTAGTAAAAATCAGAATGGTACATCAGATGTTGAGCATATATAATATAATGCCTTAAAATATAATCTTAGCACATTTAATGAAAAATGAGCATACTAATATTCAAATAACACATGTTTAGAATCACTTACCAATTATTTTTGTTTAGTGGATGCGAAATAGAATAGAATAGCATTGCTTTTGTTTGGTGTATGTGGGTTGGGCCTTGAAAGAAGAGGGTTTTTGTCTCCAAACTCGAACCAGTTCATTTAGAATGTAAATTGTAGAAAATCGAGTGATTTTTAGCCCACAAGAAATCAGCCGTTTTATTGGGTTTACACCGATATATCGGGAAAAATCGGCCCAAAACTATATGCAATATATTTTTGCAAAAATTGTATCGGCCATAGCCCAAATCCTGTATATTGGCAATAAATCGATAAAATTGGTCTATTTTTAAATCAATGACCCTATCTAAGTAGCTTAAATTTAAGCTAAATGCAATTTATCTCATCTGAACATTTTACTTAATTGCATTATTTTCTCCGTTTAGTCGTACCATCTCAGCTGGAGCAGTTGAAACAACCCATCATGCCAAACAAAGCTCTAATTTCTGTGCAATCTCCAGCTGCTAATAACACTATAAACACAGATTCTGGAGATGGAAAGAGCAAGAGATTGAAAAGCTTACTCTCCATCAACCCTCGAAAGATCCTTCTATTATTTGCCACAGTGTAAGTACCATAAACAACTCTCTGGTTTTATTTATTCTAGCAGCAATCCATTTTTTGATGGGTTTTTTTTGTGTATATACCCTTAAATCATGCATATTTGCAAAAATGCCCCCAAATCTCAATATTTACAGAACTATCCCAAATCTCAATATTTACAGAACTATCTCAATATTTACAGAACTATCCCAAATTACCCCTAAAATCAACGCATCAACTTTAATAGGCTAATATGTAACTGCAATGCAAAAATATCAACAATAATAGTCAAATATTTGCTCACCATGTCCAACAAAATTGTTGATTGTTGATTCGGAGGGTATTATTCCAAAGTTTATGATTTGAGGGGTAATTTCACAAGAATTGAGAATTTGGGGGTCGTTTTTCCACTACATTCAATGACCCAAAATATTCTTGTTTTAGGCAGGGACATTGCAATGGTCCCAACAGCATAAATTGAGATAAAACAGAAGAATCTCAAGGATCCATTAAGATATGTGGGCCTGTGATAGTTATAAGAATCCAATTGCAAGCTGGCTTTGAGTCATGAGGGTCATCTGAAATAGTCTTAAGCCATTTAAAAAAATTGTGAACTCACTGTTCATATTGTGGTTGGCATTACTTTAACTGTTGGTGGTCCATGGATTCACGAAAAGGAGCAGAGCCATTTTATTACAGTCAGCAATTTGCTGTGAACATTTTTGTTAATCTCATAGGGTGCATTAACAAAATAACCTAACCTTTTGCCTATAACACGCTATTCCTCATTTAGCAAAAGTTTAAGAAAAAGAGGGTTTTAAACTAGTTGATCCTGTTAGGTAAGATTTATTTTAACCTTTATGATATTTTAATTGTTTAGGAGTAGAGGTGATATTTATTGCTAAAATTTTACAAATAAAGGGATTATTTTATAATCAATTTCAAACAACAACAACAAAGCCTCTATCCCAAATGTTTTGGGTCGGCCACATCAATCCTATTCTTCTATTACGCTCTATTATGGGTCATCTTTTTTGTTAAGCTAAGCATAATCATATATTTTTTGATTGCTTCCAACCAAGCTCTTTTAGGCCTACGTCTAGATCTCTTTGCTCCTATCTTTTAGTGTATACCTACTAGACCATCTCAACATTCTCATTTTAGCTACTCTCATTTTTTGCATATGTCATCTTTTAATTGCCTAACATTCCGAACCATAAAGCATTGTTGACTCCTCTATTTTAACTATCCCGATTTGATTGACAAAATCATCCTCAATCTCGCCGAATAATTAATCCTAAATAATGAAATTGATTACTTTTAATTATCTCTTAACCATCAATATGTACCATAGGTTCTTTTTTCTTTTAGTTTTATTAAAAATGCATTCCATGTATTCTTTCTTGTTTTACTAATTTTAAAACCTCTAGTTTTAAGAGTTTGTCTTTACCTTTCTACTTTAGAAATTATACTTATTCTAGTCTCTTCAACTAATACTATATCATCAGTAAATAACACACACCATGACACTTCATCCTGAATATATCTAGTAAGTTGGTCCATAATTAAAGCAAAAAGATGAGCGCTTAAGGCTGACCCTTGATATAAACCTATGATTCTGGGAGATGATTTAGTTTCTCATTCATTAGTTCTTGCTTTAATTATTGCTCTATTATTATACATATATTTAATCACATCAATATATAAACTAGATACATGTTTCTTTTCTAAAATCCACCACATTACCTCTCTAGGTACTCTATCATAAGCTTTTTTAGGTCAATAAAACCATGT